GGCAGGGGGGCGGTGGGGGGGGGGGAGGGACAATGCCCTGCAGCCCAGCTGGGCTGGAATGGCTCCCCCCCATGGCTCCTTTTAATTGGTTAACCAGTTAAACATAATGCTGAACGGTTAACCAATTAAACGGGATTTTACATCCCTATTTCAAATTATGTCTTCGGTTCTATCCATGCAACCTCACTGAGAGCAACACGGTCATAAAGGCCTAATTAAAGGCAGGAAACAAAAGCAGTGAAGATACACAGGTGACCCTGCAACTGGAACTTAACCGATGCTGCGGCTGGTGCGCCCTCTCCCAGAGCTGTGTTGTACCTGCCGGGGCGATACACGTAACAGCAGTAAACACTTATTGTTGTCACTGACGTGTCTGGCTCTGACTCTGAAATGTCCAGGAGGAGCAGGGATCAGTCTTCCACAGCCACTCCACAGAGGATAACTGTACTTTAAGGAGACTCCGTACCCAGTGGGGCCTTCCGTGTGGAGTGTCAGTGTTATCGCCATGACCATGGGAAGTGACTGTCTAGGAAGGAGTCCTGCAGAAAGGGATCTAGGGGTCAGAGTGGACCACAAGCTAAATATGAGGCAATAGTGGGACACTGTTGCAAAAAAAGCAAACATGATTCAGGGACTTCAGGGGGTAGCCGAGTTAGTCTGTTACAGAAAAAAACAACAAATGGTCTGGTAGCACTTTATAGACTAACAAAACATGTAGTTATCTGTTCAGAAGTCATCTGAAGAAGTGGGCTGTGCCCACGAAAGCTCATGATACAATCTACATGTTTTGTTAGTCTGTAAAGTTCTACCAGACCACTTGTTGTATGATTCAGGGAGGCATTCACAGGAGTGTTACAAGCAAGACAGAAGAAGTCATTCTTCCACTTTACACTGATTAAGCCTTAATTGGAGTATTGTGTCCAGTTCTTGGCACCACATATCAAGAAAGATGTGGAGAAATTGGAGAAGGTCCCGAGAAGAGCAACCAAGACCTATGAGGGAAGACTGAAAGAACTGGGCTTTAGTTTAGAAAAGAGAAGACTGAGAGGGAACATTATAGCAGTTTTTAAGTATCTAAAAGGGTGTCACAAGGAGGATGGAGAAAAATTATTCTCCTTGGCCTCTGAGGACAGAACAAGAAGCAATGGGCTTAAACGGCAGCAAGGGAGGCTTAGGTTGGACATTAGGAAAAACTTTCTGCCTGTCACGGTGGTTAAACACTGGAATAAGTTGCCTGGGGAGGTTGTGGAATCTCCATCTCTGGAGATATTTAAAAGCAGGTTGGACAGACACCTGTCAGGGATGATCTACACAGTGCCTGGTCCTGCCGTGAGGGTACAGGACTGGTCTCGAAGACCTTTCGAGATCCCTTCCAGTTCTAGGATTCTATGATTCTACCATGTGTGAATTTCCTGTGTGAAATCATGGCTGCAACCATGTCTCAAAAATAAGGGATGGGATCGGCCATTTCCAGCAGCACAAAGAGAAAGTCCCTGCCTGTGATGAATTAGACCCTGAGTAGGCCGTACTCAGGAGGCAGATGAACAAATATTTACTGAATTCTGCACAAGGTCTGAGCCACAGAGTCCCCCTTCGTAGCAACACACACTCTGAGCGTGAATCCCCCCGTGCTGAGCCGAGAGCATGGCCCCCATGGGATAAGACGAGAGGGAAGCAGAGTGGAAGGGACTAGAAAGCAGAAGAAAAGGGGGGGGGGTTAAAGCACAGGGAAGGGCATCCGTGGAGCGAGGCAGGAAAACCCCACCAATTCCTCCGTCAACTCCATTATCTCCAGTGGAATTACAGCAGGAAGGGCTGTGATGCTAAGGGCAATCAGAGAGGAAGAGATAACAGCGAGGCAGGCGGGGAGAGTACGGAGCTGCCAGGGAAAGGATGGGGATTGGGGTGGCTGAGCGTGAGGAGAGAGACAACAGAGGGATAGTTGCTGGGAACATACTGAAAAATAACAGAGAGGCAGGGGAGAAGAGGAGCTCACCCCCTTCCCTCTGCCGTCTGCTCAGCCACAGTGTGTTAGCCAGGGCGGGCTGGGTCACTGCGTGAGTGGACCTCCGCCAAGGAGAAAGCGCAGGCCGCTGCGTAGGTGGCGCTCTGCCCCAGCACAGCCCGCATGCCCCAGGGCGATGCTGCTGGCGGTGCCCTCGCCAGGGTGCCGTGCAAACAAAGGTCACCATCGTTTGCGATGACAGGGTGAGTGGAGGCGTCCCGGCCACCTCACCACTCAAGTACCTGCATGCTCCTGACCCACTCCCCTGCACTCACAGGCTGTGCTCTTCCTCCCTGACTGATGCAGCAAGCCATGAGACAGATGCCACATTGGGCTCCAGGGTTCTCAGTGGCGAGACAGGATCGCTGCGGGCACCATCCATACGGGTGCTCTATCCAATCAGTGACCTGCCACCCTCCCAGAAATGAATGAAATAGAACCCGTAAACTGCACTTCTCAAAGCTTAGCAACCCGCACAACGGCTATGCAGCATTTTAAAGACTAACAAGATGGTTTATTAGGTGATGAGCTTTCGTGGGCCAGACCCACTTCCGCAGATCAAATTCTGGAAGAGAATTGGCACGACCATATACACCATAAACCATCTGGTTCGTCTTTAAAGTGCTGCATCGTCCTGTCTTTTGTTTCAGCAAGACCAGACTAACACGGCTGCATCTCAATTACTACTCACAACGGTTGGCATCCCCATTTTACAGCCTCAGAGGGAGAGACGTGCCCAGCTCCATGCAGCAAATCACTGGCACAGCCCAGCCAAGATTCGAATAGGGGAGTTCCTAGGTGCTCAATCCACTAGGCCATGCTGCCTCCCTACACAGATTTACAACCCAGTGCATTCAGCTCGGATTTTCCTGGTGTCTTGGACTGAGCTGCACCCAGCCAAGCTCCCCGTCTGGTAACCTCTCTTCAGAGACAGACATTTTCTTGGTTCACGCCATGCGGAATTTACTCACTGTCTCCTTCCACTTTCTCAGGCGTCCGGCTCCAGATGATCTGTCTGGTCTCCAGCTTCACCTGAAACGTCCTCCTCTCTGGCCTCTGGGACTTTTTTTGGTAGAATAGGGTCAGTACGGTCCCAATTTCCAAACCCCTGAGGATCCTCCCCATGTCCCCAATCTCCATCCTGGAGTCCTCCAAAAAGCCATTGACACCATTCAGCCTGGACACTGACATCTTTATTGCCTGGCCATCGCCTGACGGAATCACAGAGCGGGATCCGTGTCATGCAGGAAAGGAAGGAGTCTCTGGGAAATGAAGTCAAGACCCTTGGAAACAAAATCTACCCTCTTATGTTCAATTGCTCTCCCCCAAACCTCCGGAGACAAGGGCTTCCTTTGCTGCAGTAGCTACCAGTGCTGGCTTCCACTCTGATGCACCACAGATGCTGCAAAGATCCAGGACTCTCCTCAGAGCTCAGGAAAGAGGAAGGGGGTGGGATCGAAGGATCCTGCAACCTTCCCTTTCTGCAACCCAGGAAGAGGGTTAAATCCAGCACAATACGGCTTCCCTGCTCTACTACAGCAGCTGCCGCAAGCAGTGAACGCTCAGGCAGGCAGGTTTAGAGGCTGCTTTTCAAAACAAAAGCTATAAAAAAAATCATCCAAGCAAGCTGGTCCAGGAGGCTGAATGTACAGCAGCACCTTTACACACACAAGATCCATACAATCCAGCTGGTGCTGATGGTGCTGCGGGGGGGCATGGCGGAGGAGCCCCGGGTAGAGTGCTGCCAGGCTGCGGATCACTGTCAGCTGTGGAAGAGAGGAAGGAAAGAAGCGCAGATGGTGCAAAGTAAAAAAGCTGTGCAGCCAGCGCCAGAGAATGCCCCTAGGTGGTGGGTGGGGGGTGGGGGGGGGGGGGGGGGACAGGCACTTTCCCAGTGGCTTTTCCTGCAGCTCCTGGGGAGGAATGAAGAGGGGTTGGTTCAGTAGGTTTCTGGCAGGGAATCTGGAGGATGTGGGGTTTCCCCTGTTCAAGTTCTCCCCTCCTGCTGCAGATCCGGGCGAGGGAGTAGTGGTGTGACTTCCCGGGGGCTGCTGCTCCTGCTTCTGCCTGAGGATCCAGCCCACAAGGGGGGGGGGCTCTCCTCCCCCTTTTCTCTCTCTCCTTCTCTCTGCTGATTAATTTCAGGCTGGTGAAATGGACGCCCAGAGGAAACTGCAATCACACATGGCCGGAAAGAGATCAGAAAGGAATTTAAAAAAAAAAATTGCAGGATCTTGGAGAAAGAAAAATAGGAGGAGAGGAAGAAAAGATGGTGGAGGGTGACATCTAGAGGAGAGAGGCCTGCTTGCCTCTGGAGGGACGAGGGAAGGGCAGGCTGAGAAGCAGCTGGGACATGCTGCTGTCCGCATGGTTCTTACATCTGGAGGGGATGGAGCACAGACAGTGACTTTTGGTTTTGCCAGTGGGTACACTGAATAAGAAAGCATAGGCACTGACAAACGTGAGGTTATTTTCAGCATATTTATACACTTCTTTCATATTCTAGTTATCAAATATGTGACTATCATGGGGGGCTTAATTTAATCAAGACTAAATCAGTCATGCGCGATAGAATTACATTAGCATGAATTACAGGATTGGAATCACTGGACTCACCTACAAGCCGCCTTCACTAACGTCACAGCTTACCTCTCACTGGAGCGGTCTGGAGGAATCTGTCCGCAATTTTATTTCCATCCAGCTCCCTGGTATGGGACAGCTCCATTGGTCAGTCCTGTCTGTCCCACTGGGTTAAGGTTTCTGATGCTGGAGAATGAGCACTCCATGAGCAGCCTAGTAGGTAGAAGACAGGGAGGGCTGGGGGACTTGCACAGGGACTTATTGGTGGGTCCTTCTGGGCTCACGTGCAGAGGAGAAGGGGGCTGGCCTTTCAGGTAAAAGGCAGGGAGGGCTGGGTGGACTTGCATAGGGAAGGTAGGTGGCCTCCTCAGGCTGGCCCCATGCACTGGTCCTGTTTCCCCTTTGGGAAAAGATGATCACGCTAATACTAGTCTAATCATTCTGCCTTGTGGTTTCATGGTGCCCCGTATGTGTGGTCCTGCTGCCGCCTGGTGCCATTGCAAAATGTCGGTTTAAGGCAAAGTTACTTCCAGGGGACATCTTAAATAATCCTCCTTCCAACCTCCTCATGGAGCCTGAGCACACCCCATTGGTTTTCCATCAGTGCTGAGCCCCGGAGCAGACAGGGAGTCGGCCCCTATGGGATGGAGGAGGAAGTCCGGGGGCGTCATAGCGGGAACCTGGTGGACTTTAATTACAAGGCCGCAATGGACAGCAACACGGTTTGCACTGGTGGTTGCGTGGAAAACACAGGCTGTGTCTTCCAGCGCAGTGGGCTGTGTTACGCATGGTGGAGTGAGATTCGTTCAGGGCCAGCCTGCGTAGAAGCATCTTCTGATTTCAATCTAAGGGAAGCAATACAGGCAGTCCCCGACTTACGCGGATCCGACTTATGTCGGATCCGCACTTACGAACGGGGCTTTTCTCGCCCCGGAGCTCACGGGCGGCGGGTCGCCACCCGTGTCCTCCAGGGTGAGAAAAGCTTCTCCCGGGCTCCCTGGTCTGCTGGGGGGGTCCAGCAAAGCCGCTGGACCCCCCCAGCAGACCAGGGACACCCGAGCAAAGCCG